AAAGTTTTTATATGTGAGTTGTTACATGTAGGAAGGGTTCCTCTAAATCTCCCTATCAAAGTATAATTATTGTCAATAATTTTTATTAAAACTTTCTTGAAATACAGGAAACATTTCAAATAGTCTTAATTCAGTTCAGTTTATTCATATATCCCCAATTCACAACACATGTCATCTGAAGGTGCGTTAAAAGACAATTCAATCACATCATAGATACAGAAATGTTTTCTGTCTGAGGAAAACCAGCTGATGGCAGCTGATTTACCCTATTTACACTACTCCTCTGAAAACCGATCCGTGCTGAATTCGGAACGAGCTTGGATCAGTTAACTGTGCCGAGCTTGGTTTCTGTGCCAAATGATTTAAAAAGGGTAGAGTATGGGGCTATTGACTCTCAGCAATCCTTCATACCAAGCATGCTTGTAGTGACAGTGGTGAGGAAAAACTCCCTTTGAACAGGAAGAATCCTCCAGCAGAACCAGAACCAGGCTCAGTGTGAGCTGCTATCAGCTGAGGCCGACTGGGGTTCAAGGAGACAGAAGCAGACATAGAAAAGTAAAATAGAAGCCCTGATCCATAGGAACCTTTTCTGATAGAAAAGGTGATGGTAAATTAGCACTATAAGTGGATCTTTTCAGGAAAGAAATGGTAAAGCATATGAGCTCTGAGCCATTTTTCATGTCAAACGGAGAAAGAGAGTAGAAAGTCACAATAAAAGCTGATCCCATTGCTACGTTTAAGAGAGAAACAGGACCAAGCACTGAAATACAGGCCCAACTCTATTATATCGAATCATAGCTGTTTGGGGTAACAGCCAAGCTATTATTTCCCCCCAGGAAAAATTAAACTAGAATGAAAAGAAAATGAAAATAATTAGAATTTAGCAATACATGTTGCTGCACATTAAGAAAGGGAAATGCTCTGAAAGATATACAAAATTAAACTTCTTTTATTGTCCTTTTGTATAGACAGAGCGTATCTTAGACTTTTGTTTTTTGGGAGTCCTAAACTCGCTCGCCTCCATTGCTTCAGCTTGTTGACCAATAGCGTGCATGCATGGTGACGTAATCCCAGTCAGATAATGTTATTATGGTACATTTTAAAACAGAGAGTAGAAAAAAAAGTGTAAAAGGCGAAAAATTACAAATATTAAACTAACAAGACACAGTAATTTGTCATTAAAACGTTTTATGTAACTAGTGTAAGCATGCTATGAATTTTAAAAAGGTCAAACAACTTTACTATGTACATTTAAATAGTAGAAAATAAAACTCTGTATAGGTAATCAACAAAAAAGAATCATCTTAAGAATTAAACAAATGTTTTCATTAAAATCTTGTTTTTTGTTTTTTAATTCTTATCTTTTAAAAAGATTCTGATTATTGCAGAAATTGTTGCTCAGACTGTGTTTCAGTTATTTAATTAATTAGTATACTGATTATGTATGTACATTAATAAAACATAGCTTATCAGTGCTAAACAACTTAACAATAATACTAGACAAGATTACTGAAAAACATTAGAGCAACTGTCAGTCATTATCAAACTATTGCAAAACAGAAATGCATCACTTAATGGTATTGTTCTCCACACTCATTACCTCCAGAGACATGGGGAATATTTTATGACTCAGGGTCAGGATGTGTTTCCTGATGATGCAAGATTTCTTTCCCTGCTTGGTGACTACTTGTCCTGACTCAGAATCAGTGCTACACTAAAAATCCTCAGAGGTAGAGACTGCAGCAGCTGTCCAGGTGGCTATCCCAGATTCATCCGGGTGAGACCTGTTGGATGACTTATACCGGGAATACACCTCACAGTCCTGCAGTCGACATCTTTCCCAAGGTGCTCTTTGTTATTTGAGTGTTTAGCTCTGATAACTAATCTGAGCACATTTATAGGTTTAAAAGCTGTGATCAATGGATGATGTTAATATTGTTAATGATAATAATAGGATTATAAATTCTTTATATTTCATTATAACTTAGGCTGCATTGAAATGTGTCATCTATATCTAACCTATCCCTTAGGGTGCTCTGTTGCCCCCGGTAACCATTCTAAGGTGAAGGGTAGCTATAGGCTGCATTATGTGGTCTACTTTCAAAGGCCTGCATGAGTCACGCCTTTATAAACTCATAGTTTGACTCAGGGCGTAAAGTCCTGTGTTTATGAATTTTGCTGCGCTGTTCTTGGCTTTGGAAAAAACCTTTTGGGCAATAGCTGTTATTTACAGAAGTCAATCACCTCAGTAAAAATAACCGGACATAACTGCTTGTAAGGTATTGCTTCTCACACTATTTTCTAGAAGTACCCCCTGTTTGTTTTTTTCTTTGTTCAACAAAGATGCCTCCTTTCATCTGCTGAGCCGTTCTCCGGATGTTCTTCCTTTAAATATTTAGTTTAGCAATAAACCGTTGGTTTTCCTCTGGTATACAACCAGAGGAATGTGGTTGTAGTTAAGGAGATGAAGTGTGACTGTGTTACACAGCGTAGACGCAGCTTCTGAAAAAAATAACACAAAGACATTGTTCCAACAAATGCTCATCTTTTAATACTTTTTAATAAAACACACCTTCTTAAGATTTTTCCAGTCAGGGCTTTGGTCTCACCAAAGCATTGAGACTGAATGTTTGAAGTTTTAAATTAAGTTGTAGTTAGATGTTTAGATTCCTTAGGGTCAGACATGCAGAAATGGTTTAGGGTTTAGGGTCAGACATGCAGCGGAAGCAAACACCACAAGATCCTCAGTGCAGAGGAATGCACTGTTTAACAGCAAGAATATAGAACAGAGAAATAAATTAATTTGGCCACAACAGCCATAGATAAAGATATTTAGGAATTGGTAAAGACTGGATGATTTAATATATTTAACCAATCTTGATCGTAATCTTTCAAATAAAGAAATCAATTTGCAGTAAAAGGTTTAAATGATTTAAATGATGTCATTTGATGCTGACCCAGTGAAAAGCACAGATCACTTATAAAGTATTTTGTTTACTCAGGATGTCTGTTTTTCATTACAGTATCTTTGTATCACCATCTTACACATTTGATCTGACTGCTAATGTGACTTGTTAGCAGTGACGTGCACAGACATCTTTGGGGGCAGGTGCCCAGGTTGGAAAAAGGGCACCTTAATCATTGCATGAAGCCGTCAGCAGCCAAACACCGTCTGATGCTGACAATCTCCCTCAGTCCATAGGTAGCAGTGCCACATTGGTGCCACTTAAGAATTCGAATCCACTATAATAAAGCCCAAGAATCCAGAATATCTTTAAGTTTATTTGGTTTATATGACAATTTGGAAATGAACTAAAATTTCCATTTGAAATATAGGTAATGCATAATGGGTAATAATCTGATTTTAATGTTACAAACTCTCAGTCCACTGACAGATCATCTTATTTTCCTACTCAGATTAGGGCAAAATAATTCTTTTAAAAAAGTTTTACATATTTTTAGGTCAGTATTTGCAGTCCAAGATGTCTGTCAATAAACACAGAAACTGAAAATGCAGCTTCATCTAGATGTCACACTTAAACTTAAAAGAACCGTATTAAAGTTATTTTTTATGATTTAGCCTTATGTTTGCTTTCAAATAAAATGTTTAACAGAGAAAGTAATCTGTTTGCTTTAGTTGTCATAAAAAAGTCCAATAGATGTCATCAGGGAGTCCCAGACAGGAACCATCACAGCAAATCAATAATTACATCCATGAGATACTTTAAATTACCCTTTGTTCTAATTTGAGTAAAGAGTTGCAAAGGGAAATCCAGGTCGAAATCAGAAGGCAGATAAGGAGGAAGATCCAGGCGCAGTCCACAGGCAGAATCCAGCAGGAGTCCGAAGACGGGTCAGGCAAACAGATCAGAACAGGAACAGGTTCAAAGGTCTGACGTCAAAACAGGTCAGGATCAAGCAATCAGAACACAGACAGACACGCTAGAGAACTCTCACCAAAGGCTCGAATAATCTGACACTGATGACTGGGAGCAGGCAAAAAATGTGTAAATAATTTTCTTTACTATACACACACACACATATATATAAAATCGGTATAGAATTATTAGACAGCATGAGATTAATTTCCACTGTTATGCTGATGATACTCAGCTATATCTATAAATCAGATGACACTAATCCATTAAATAGACTACAGGCATGTCAGACATGAAAACCTGGATGACTCTTAACTTTCTGCGCCTGAATGCAGACAAGGGGGAGCAATAAGTGGTGCGGTTGTCTTGCAGTAAGAAGGTTCTGGGTTCGATTCCAGGGGTCTTTCTGCATTGAGTTTGCATGTGTTGGTTCTCTCTGACTTCCTGCTGCAGCCCAAAAACATGATTTTTAGGTTAATTGGCTTAATTGGCTCTCTAAATTGTCCTTAGGATTCTGTGCATGGTTGTATATCTCTGTGTTGTCCTGTGCCAGACTGGCGACCTGTCAAGGATGTACCCTTCCTCTCTCCCATAGACGACCCCACTGTAGCTGGATGAATACCAAACAGATGAGGATCTGTTTAGGATTTGATTTATTTGTATTTTAAAAAAAAGCTAAAGCTACAAAACTCTTTTGTCTCATCGCAGAGCTTTTTATTACAACTGCTAAACTCTAAGTCATTCACTCAAACTAATTGTTGGTGTTTCTCCTCTTCAGACAGATGAAGATGATCATGTTGAATTTTGAATCAAATATCTGCAGGATTTTGTTCCTTATTTTCTGTAAATCCACAGTAAACATATCTTTCCCACTGTAAGTGGCTCACCTGTGGTTGAAGTCAGCCCTGCAGTTCCAGTGGCCTCTAATCTATAGGGTCAGGTAGACAAAAGTCAGAAAGTTTGATAAGATATTTTAAACTTAAATCGTTTTTGGTCTGATACCACCTATAAATAAAAGGTCTTCTTTTCCATTCCAAAACCCATTAAGGAGACATGCTGTTCTTGTTGAGACAGGAGCTTTCACATATAATAAGTAGGTGGTTTTTTGCTGCTGTGCATCCAGCTCTGTGTTTAAGCTGCACTGAAATGAAGGAAGCGCTCACTGTCGCTTCTACCGTCTCAACATGAGCCTGCTCTGTGTGATGCTTCTGACTCTCATGAGGCTCAACCGCACTGCTGTGGTAGCCTCACCCGTCCGCATCATTGACCAACCTCCACAATCACTATCTGAGGCTGACCAGAAGATTGCAGAGGTAACTTAACTCTTTTCCATTGATCAATATAGGTTGCATATGACAGCCTGTTGATGCTAAAGGTTTTCTGAAGTTTTCATTGCCTTGTATTTGCTGTTTCAGATAGAAATGCTGTTCTGTAAAAAAATCCTTAGAGTTGCAGTTTTGATTTGACCCACTGCCAAATGTTTATTCTCAGAAAACATGCTACTTTTTGTATGAGTCCAGAATTCAACATAATATAGCAATAGATCCTTATATAATAGAATATTTTAAATCTAACTAGATATCTTTACCATTTTTCTTTTAGAGAACAGTGTTTTCTCACACCTTAATGAGAAATATGACTGTAATTGCATTTAGAAAAGGCTACATTTAATTTACCAACATTTCAAATATGTGGTATTCTGCGCCTTTAGATTTTTGAGCTGTGAAAAAAAACAAACAAACAAAAAAAACATTTAATTAGTTGGAAAGATAATTATATAACTAATATCTCTACAATCTGTTTGTGAAGTGTCACCTGAGGCAAACTGTGGTTCAGTGATATTGGCTGAGAGGATTTTCCCTCTTATTTGCTGCCAACTGGCTCCTTGTTAAAATCTTTCCCTGATGTATTCTTAGGAAGGCAGCAGCAGTTGTAGACAGTAATTATCTTTATGGTAAGCATTGTCTTATGATGACAGCAGTCAAAATATATAGGCAGCCCCTCAATGAGGAAAATTTTTTTTTAAATATTAATCTTCAAAGGTAAACTTTTTAACACTATTGCATATTGTATTTTAGAATGAAAACACAAAGAATGCATCAAAGACAGTATAATAAGAGAATCAGGATCAGAATCAAGTTTATTGCCAAGTAGGTTTGCAATTACAAGGAATTTCACTTGGTGTTGATGGTGCAGACAAAATTGGATGGAAAGAAACTGTTTTATTCCTTATGGACCGCAGCCTCCTACCAGAGGGAAGGGACTGAAATACTTTGTGGCTGGAGTGCAAGGGATCAGCCACAATAATCCCTGCACGCCTCAGAGTCCAGGAGGCATACAGATCCTAAAGAGATGGAAGATTGCAGCCAATCACCTTCTCTGCTGACCGGATGACATGCTGCAGTCTGCCCTTGTCCTTGGTGGTGGCACCAGCATACTAGATGGTGATGGAAGAGGTGAGAAAGGACTCAATGATGGAGGAGTAGAAGTGCACCATCCTTCTCCCTGGCAGGTTGAATTTTTTTAGGTGCTGCTTAAGCCGGGCGTACACTGTGCAATTTTTTTCAATTGTTGCACGCAGCTACTTCTCACACTGTAAGACTAACCACAGGGTTTAGTCATACAGTGTGAGCAGCAGCTCACGATTTATGTTCGGCCCGACGCTGTGATGCGATCTACCTGCTCACACTGCACAACTAAAAACCACGTCGGACTCGGCTCCGCAGTGAGATGGAGCTGCTCTGACTCATCTATCCGGAAGCCAAGCAAATAGAAAGGGAATATTAAGCCCAGTATAATGAAATGCGCTCCTTGGCAATTTGTGCAATTTTGTGCTGAAAGCCCTGAAAAGAAAAGGCAACAACATATTTGGAAAAAAGACATGGCTGAGCTAACGTGGCTATTACGGTCTGCCAAACATGTTTCATCGTCTCCCGACCTTACCTTTCCTGATCAGGAGGTGGTCTTGGGAGGCTGATCAACCCTCGTAACCCCCTGTAAAATACATGACTCACGACGCACGATCAGGCTGAAAGTCGGCCCGAAAATTGCACAGTGTACGCCCTGGTTTAGCCAGCAAATTTGTATTTGAGTTTCTATATATTCTCGAATTCTCATGTTTAGATGGCTTTCCTTGGACTTGCTATTTAGCAGTTAGTCATTTTGCCTCAGATTCATGCAGTCATTTACTCGGTACGAAAATGACTGCAGCGGGAAGATGAACAGATTCTGGTAAGAAGGAATTCTTCCTCCAACATTCATCTGTTGTAAATCTAAAAACACTGATCAAAAAATAAAGGGAACACTCAAATAACTCATCCTAGATCTGAATGAATGAGATATTTTCATTGAATACTTTGTTCTGCAAAAAGCTGAATGTTCTCACTACAAAAATCACACAAATTCAATCAATGGAAATCAAATATGTTAACCAAGGGAGCCCTGGATTTGGAGTTCCACACAAATAAAAGTGTAAAAACCCTCCAGTCTGATCCAGCCATGATGTAATGTCCTTAGAATAGGTCAGACTGAGGCTCAGCATTGTGTGTGGCCTCCACCTGCCTCTATGACCCTCCTACAACACCTGATGAGGAGCAGGATGGTTTCATGAGGGATCTCCTCCCAGAGCTGGACTAAAGCATGCCCCAAATCCTGGACAGTCAACCATCCATCCATTTTTTGGTGGATGGATGGAGACTTGTGCTGACCTACTCCAACCACATGAGGTCTATCATTGTTCTGCATTAGCAGGAACCATGGAGCCACCTGCACCAGCAGATGAGGATCTCATCTGGGTGGGGAGTGGGGACTACCCCCAGGCTGAGGCTCAGGCAGTAGATGTAGCTGAGGACCTCACAGTTCTCATCAGTGCTGTTCCTCAGCAGCCTTGGGGGAAGCCATCTGGTCCAGAGGCTTTCCTCTGTTTCAGTCAGTTCAGCTGGCCTCTCATCTGCCAGCTGAGACCTCACCGGTGTGAGGTCTCTGGTGGCCTGGGGTTTGGAGACGTGTGGATAGGTGTGGAGAGGGAGGGGGCCAGTGTTAGATGAGTCAAATTGGGTGAAAAATCTATTTAACTCATGTGCAAACTTGGTGTCACTGTCTGCAGCCCTGCTTGTGGTCTTCTGCCCAAAGCCGAAGATTTTCTTGAGATCCCTCCACACATCTCTGACATTGTTCTGTGCCAGTTGTTCCTCCATCTTCCTCCCATAGTCCTTAATTGCCACCCTGATCCTCCATTGGAGCTCTTGCTGAAATCTATGCTGCTCTTCTCCGTCCTCTGAGTTAAAAGCCCTTTTTTTCTGATTCAGGAGCCGCACAGTGCTCTCTACACAGAAGGTCATGTAGTCAGGGATACATTCAGTCAGGCTGTTCATGTCATCACCATGAGACTTTGGAACATGCTCCAGTCTCCAGTTTGGTTAGAGACAAACTGCAGTTTTCTCCGGTCGCTAGGGTGTTATACTTTACAGACAGGACACAGACTTTAGAAACTTTATCCACTACAGTCATCTGATAGATCTTAACTTTTACTAAAATACTTAACTTGGGAAAATAACTATTACTCTACTTTTGGATCATCTGGGGTTTAATTTGAATAATTTCAGAATTTTCTAAACTATCATGCTCTCATTTACATAAAGTGACTCTGAAGGCTGGGACAGAAGAATGTGTTTACAAACCTGATAACGTGTGACATGTCAGTGGCTGAACATGTGTTAGAGCTGTTAATGTTGCCACCTACAATTACATGTGTTCAGCAATTTTTACAGCAACATACTGTCATTTAAGTAAAAAAAATGTTGGGAATGTTTACCGTCTGGTACTGTCTGCACGAATTGGAACATAAATCACTTCACACTGCTAAGTCACAAAATTGCTACCTTCAAAATACAAACTGTCCAAAGCTATAATCTTATCTCTATGTCATGCTGACCAGAACTTATCTTTATGCAGACAAGTCATATATAGATACATACATATATATTTTCTTTGTTTTTATGTACGCTGTTTAAGTTCACAAGTTTGTCAAATGTCAAAGGGGTGTGAATAATTATTCAATTTTTTATTTGAATAGCACTTTTTCATTTAGACACATTCCTTGGTTTTTTTTTAGATAGAAGTGAGACCATCTTACCTTTTTCTTTCACTGCAGCGTAAAGTTAGCTTCAGTGCATGTGTGTGATATGAATTGTTTTCCACAGGAATATCTGAAGCACTTCTATGGGTACCAGTCCAAGACAGAAAGACAAAAAAGGGCTGAAGACTTAAATAAGGATCCAAACTGGACGAGAGGACTCTGTGAGAAGGTGAAGAAAATGCAACGATTTTTTGGCTTGCCTCCCGATGGGAAACTCAATAAAGAGACTCTCTCCATAATGAAGAAGCCACGCTGTGGACTGTCAGATGTAGAGCCCTATGGAAGCACGTTTCGTTGGAGGAATGTGACAATTAGTTACAGGTGAGACAAGACCTTAGAAACGACTGATTATCCAGTATATTTTTCTGAGATGTGTTACAGCGGTTAATGCAAGTGGTTTACGTTTATTTTAACACCCAAACAAGAGGTTAAAAGAGATTTATCTTTGTGTAAAAGCAACACTGCTTTCCACTCTCAACACAGTCTGCAAGGTTTAATGAGATGTATCTTAAGCCAAGCATCCACTGATCTATTTGGTTGGATAACAGCCATCTTAAAGTTTTGGCTTCTAACCCAAAAGAAGTATCAAACTAAGCCCTGACAGCCCAGGGTGCAGACCAGGGAGCAAAGTCATAATTTAACACACCTCTCTGCAGCTTCTCTACTGTTACTCACCCTCGAGCTAACGGTGTACGTTCCTATCCTCAACTATGGTAATGAAATCTGGATAATGACTGAAAGAATGAATCAAGAAGAAATGTTTACTGAAAAACTATTTGGGGTTTTGGGAAAATAACTATTACTGTACTTTTGGATAATTTAGGGTTTAATTTGAATAATTAGAATTTCCTAAACTATGATGTTCTTATTTACATTAAGTGATCCTGAAGCCTGGGACAGAAGGATGTGTCTGAAATCTGGATCATGACTGAAAGAACGAGACACTGGATCCAAGCGGACAAAATAAGCTTCCTCTGCAGGGTGGCTGGGCTCTTCCTTAGAGAGAGGGTGAAAAGCTCTATGATTTGGGAGGGACTCGGAGTACAGCTGCTTCTCCTCCAAATTAAAAGAAGTCAGCTCAGGTGGCTCAGACATCTCTTTCAGATGCCCTTTGAACCTTTCTCTCTTAAGGGTTCAAGACATGTCCCACTTGGAGGAGGACCAGGGGATGACCAGGACAAACTGGAGGGACTATGTCTATCAGCGGGCCTGGGAGCACCTCAGGCCTCCCTGAGCAGGGCTGGAGGAGGAGTCTGTATAGAGCAAAGACTGGGAGTCTCTGCTAAGACTCTTATAGAGTCTTATTGATACTCTTATGGAGTCTTATAGACTCTGGGAGTCTCTGCTAAGACTCTTATAGAGTCTCTGGGAGACTCTGGGAGACTCTGGGAGTCTCTGCTGCCCGTGACCCGTACATGGATGAAGGGGAAGATGACGTGACAAGACCCCTGGTTTCCATCATCCAAACTATAAAGCAATAAAACCTCCTCTGCTGTTAACCTTGTACTGTCCACCAGGTCCTTTAGAATTTTTCAGAGTACCTATTTGATTTGGTGTTGAACACTGAAAGGGTCATCATAGTGGTGGATTTTAACATCCATGCTGACATTGAAGGTGATAGCTTCGGTGCGGCTTTTAATGCTATCTTAGACAGCAACATGGAGGAATCGTTGAAAAACGGCCTAAGTGACTGGAAAAAACTAAGCATCAAACTTGAAAAGCATGCAAATTCTCTGGCCCATCAGAACTGTATGGTTACATGGGACATCTTCAAACAGAGCACATCTGGAAGATCAATAGCTGGCAATTTGTCAGAAAACCACAACGCTACTGTTGAGAAAAACAGATTTTATCTTTTTAAAGTGAGATTGCTGCATACACTTGGATTGACTTTCCGTGGACAAAGGGAGTCTATCGATTCAGATTCTCGTGGTAATTATCTTGAGGTTTGCAAATTCTTTCTCGAAATATGATTCCGATTTTCAAAGTATGAAGTCTAATTATTTCAATGCTACAAGTCCAGATTTTTAGAAAGAAATATTGAGATATGCGCAAATTTGGTTCATGCGGAAATTGTAGAGAAAGTGCGGGACACTGGTTTTTTTGCTGTTAATCGCAGATGAGGCCAGGTCATCCAAAACTGAGCAGCTGACAGTCTGTTTAAGATATACAGAGCAGCTTCAAATCAAGGAGCGTTTTTTGGGTTTTATTGATTGTTCCACATCTCGATATGCAGCTGGGATCGTGGATGCAGCTGGGATCGTGGATGGCGCCTCTGTAATGTCTAGCAGAGTGTCTGGAGCGCAGCAGCGCATTAAAGAGATGCAACCATACGCATCATACCTACACTGCTTGGCTCACAAACTGAATCTCGTGCTTGTGGACTACTGAACCGTGAACCTTTTTCTTGATAATGACTTTGGGCAACAGAGAATAAAATGATGTAAATACTGTCCAATGTCCCAGAGTGAGACCGCTGGATTCCAGCAGCACCTGTATTTCCCAGTGCTGGATGCCATAATTTGCGAACTGGACAGACGATACTCGGGAGAAGCTGTTGAACTCGCACAGGCCTGTGCAGCAGTGTTAAGATGCGACAAAAGTGGAATTGAACCTCTCGTACAAAAGTATGCACAGCCTCTGAAAATCAACCACAACCTTGTTGGGGCAGAGATGGACCTTGTTAAAGACTCTATTAGCGTCATTTGTTTGATCTGTGTCACGTGAAAATATTCAAAAAACAGTGGCAAGGGCGGTTTACCCAAATCTATACAAGCAAACAGAGCAGGTAATTTATCCCTGCTTCCATCAGACATTACAGTGTGGCACGTGGCACTATAACTGCAATATCTAATGTGCAATCTCTATTTAATACCTTGTGCAATAACCATATATATAAATACCTATTTTTATAAATACCTATTTAATACTGTGTGCAAGGTTAAGGGTCTTGCTAAGAGACTCACAGTGGCAGTCTGTGGGTGTGGGGCTCGAGCTCAGAACCTCAGGATTCCAAGCTCTATGCCCTAACCTCTAGGTCGCCACTTTCGACCATTGAGCCAATGTGACAAGATAATTCCTCCACTGTGACATCAACAAAGTCTATCTTATCTAATCTTAAAGGACATGGACCTCTTTAAGTCTTTATGTCTTTATGTCAATATGTTACCTTACCGCGGGTCTTCTCCTATTCAATATCTGCGTTCTTCCAGTACCTCAAAGCAATCTCAAGAATTAGCAAACAGCCTTGTTACTTCAGTTAGAAACAACTGATCAGGCCTGAAATCTGCAGTAATAGACTGAGACCTGATACCCAGAGATATTTAGAGACAGTTACAAACTTGCTCCTTTCTATTACCAAAATACATTTCAATGATGAAAGTCTTACCAATAAAATGCATTACTGGTTTGCTGCCATGGCATTAACCTTCAAGACCACTCAATGCTTGTGGATCAAGTTGACTTTCACCCTCAGGACCAGAAGCAAACAGAGAGAAGCATTTCTACTAACCTCAAGTCCACAAACAGAAGATTACTTTCTTTCAAATGAAACCTGGAACCCAATTTGTTCAGAGATGCTTTTGAGCTTTTTTTACTGTTTACAGAACTATCATTAATCAAAGTGTTTTACCAAGCTTTTATTGTTTTTACTGGCTTTTTATACGCCCCTGAAATTTACCTTTTAATGCATTGTTTCCTTCACCTACATGATGTAATTTTAATTTTCTAAATGCTGAAATGCTGCTTACAAAATTAAACTTTCCTTGCCTAGAAATACAGCATTGTAATCTGTGCAGAAAAAGGTTGTTGCATAGCGTGTGAAAAAATTGCCTAATTATATTGAGTCATTGCTTTGCAATTTTCAGGTTTCAGCGACATGCAATTCCTCTGCATTAATGGCACAACATTTACTTAGACTTAGACAACTTTTATTGTCATACTGTAATCACAGAGTGCATGCAAAATGAAATTTTGTTTTGTACAGCTTGTACAAAGTTGTGAAGCAGTGATCAGATGTAAACAGTGTGGGAGAAAAAACGTGGTGCAAAAAAAAAAAACTATTGATATGGAAGTTCAAAGCATTATATATATATATATATATATATATATATATATCAAAGCATTATATATATATATATATATATATATATATATATATATATATATATATATATATATATATATATATATATATATATATATATATATATAGCATCGAATGCTTTGAACTTACAGGTATATTGTTAAATTAAGCAAAATAGTTTGTTAAAATTGAGCCATGGGAGCTGGCTCGGCGCTCATCTGCCGGTAGTGTATTTCCTGGATGGGGCCGCCTGTGGAGCTGGTTGACACTTGCCTTTTGCATCCCTGCGTCTTTTTCTATGTCTGCTTCTGTCTCCTTGAACCCCAGTCAGCCTCAGCAGATGACACATAAGTAAAATAATTAAAGAAATAAAAAGCTCTCATATTGTCTAGAATGATAAAGACAGAGAGGAGTTATTGCAGAATTGAGCTATTTGACAGAATTAAAGTGAGTTTTTGAAAGCTCCAAAATAATTAATTAAATTATCTATTTCCTGTTTAGGATTACGTAGGAACAAGGTAGGTAATTTTTTTAACAATTAGGAAATGGTTAATTTGGTACGCTTTTTTTTTGTGTTTCTGTGTAAAAATGCTACAGCTAGTACATGATGACACCAACAATCGTAAAATGTAAGATGTTGACAATGATCACCACATTAGCTTTAAATGCAGTGGGTTACTACAGTAACATAATTGAGGGCACTTACTTCTGGACTTCTGGATTATTCAGGTTTCTATGTTCATTAGCTTTTTACCATGTTTATGTAAATTGCTTTAAATTGTGTGATTTTCTCTGCAGAATTGCTGGTAAAAATCTACCATTTCCAGTCCAAAAAATTGAAAAAGTAATCAAAAAAGCACTGAAGCTGTGGTCCAGTGTTTCCCTGATTAAATTTCAAAAGCGGAAACGAAGAGAAGCAGACATTGTCATCACCTTTGCCAGCAATGGTAAGCTTTGTGATAAAAGATTCACATAAACTAAACTGAAATAATGTGCCTGAGATGATAATGCGAGGCTCTTTTTGCAGACCATGGGGATGGGGTTCCTTTTGATGGAAATGGGGGTGTCCTGGCCCATGCCTACCTCCCTGGTTCAGGCATTGGAGGGGATGTGCACTTTGATGCTGCAGAGAAATGGAGCTTGAACTCTACTGATGCTGCAGGTAAAAGAGAAATGAAAATCCTGCAGGAGATTATTCATGTATTCAACAAAACCTTAACATCATTTTACTGGTTCGGAAACTGCATGACGTGTCACCCTCCTTCAGGTGTCAGCCTACATGTCATTGCAGCTCATGAGTTTGGTCATGCTCTGGGCCTCTCGCACTCATCGGATCCAGGATCCATTATGTACCCAGCATACAACTTTTCACCTTGTCTCGAGCTTCAGCTCTCCTTTGATGATGTGAAAAACATCCAACATCTTTATGGTAAGCATTCATTCCAAGGCACAGGCTTAAATATACATCAAATACTTAGAAATGCTCCCCATGCGCCGCACAATGTCAGTCCACTACTCCCCAAGGGGATGGGTTAAATGCAGAGAATTCATTCCATTGCTCTGTAGTTGTGACAGTGTAATGACAATAAAAGCTGGGAACAAAACAACAACTCATATGCGTCAACTCTTTAGGTCACATAGTGTGACATTAAGTTTCCCATATAAGGATGCTAATAGAAAACAATTTAATTCAGTTTTTATATCGCCAATTAACAACACATTTCATCGCAAGGCACTTTACAATTCATCCAGATCATTCAGTCAGATTGGTTCAAAGTTTTCTATCTAAGGAAAACCAGTTGATTGCATCGACTCATTGACTCTTCAGCAATCCCCCACACCAAGAATGCTTGTAGCGACAATGGTGAGGAAAACTCCCTTTTAACAAGAAGAAACGTCCAGCAGAACCAGAACCAGGCTCAGTGTGAGCGGCCATCTGCTGAGTCTGACTGGGGTTCATGGAGACAGAAGCAGACATAGAAAAAGAAACAGAGATACAAAAGGTGAAGCTTGTTGACAAAAACTGTCAACAAGCTTCACAGGCAGCCCCGTCCAGGAAACACACATCCAGCCTTTCACAGTCAGAGAAACAGGACTACACTGAAAAACAGGCCAAGCTCCAACATCTAAAAACAAAGGTGGCTGCAGCACAGCTGATCATTCTCTCCAGGATGAAGTCACAGCGAAACAGGAACAGACTAGATTAAGCTACAATGAGAAAAAGCAGAAAGAGCTAAACATTAGAGATTCCAATTTTACTAAATTGAAATTATGCTTAAAACCATAACTTTGGCATCTCTACAATAAAGTGCATTTATTCTATGAAGATCACACAGGAAACAAGAAAGTTATCTGTTCAGGCATAAAGTATGAGGAGGAAAGTATGCAAAAAGCTCCACTCTCCCACCCCAGACCACAGGTTAGGGGACCTCCATATTGATCCTGCCTTGTTGACTCTGCATCCACTGTTATCTGCTCTAAAATCAATCAGCAGACAAAGCAACTCTCATGTTTTTCATTGTTTTTAATATTTTTTATATTTTCAATTCAACTCAGTTTATTTCAGCACCAATTCACAACACAAATCATCTCATGGCACTTTAGGGAGACAATTCAACTAGATCATCTAGTCAGATTTTACTTTAAATTTTGTTATTTTCATAATTTCATTTACTTTATTTTGTTTGTAGTACTTTGAGTCACTCTCTATTTTAAGTTCACAATATTTAATTTATTATTATTATTGTTAATATACTTTTTGATAATCATACCTCCATGTCCATGGATGAACCCGCCTCTTTCTTTTGCAGCTACTCTAAATCTAGAAGGATTAGACTCATTTTAACTAACTAAACCAAACTAAACCGGTTTGCATGTCTTAACAGAAAAAAAGGGCATGTTACTCCCTGTTTTATAGGGTTTTTATGTTTACTTCAAATGTTCTTTTTCTGTGGATTTTGTTCTTGTCCCTTTTTTTGTGTGGTTTGTAAAAGGTGTGCGCCTTGAGCTATTTGCAGCACTTTTCACTGTGGTTTTCTAAACTGGAACTTAAAAATAAGCTGAACTTAAATCAGAATTTAATTTTGATTCTGTCAGACCAGACAGAATTCATCCAGAAGATCTTTGAAAATTTGGCCTGAATATTATTATTATTTTTTTTTGTCTATGGAAGAAGTGAAATCTGTCTTGTTAGTGATCTTCAAAGCAACTCTTTCTTCTCTGACATTGCAGCAGCCTCCACACTGCTGATATCGGCCCATTAGCAGCATCTCTAGCTACTTTCTCATCTTTTATCTAATTTTATAGAAATATACAATATAGCTGTGGACTGGTTTTTTGTTTTTCCTTTAAGCTGTTTTTTTTGTATTCTCTTTGAAAAATAATTACCTTAAGGCATCAGGTGATCAAATACCTTTAAAAACCTGAAGCTGATCTTTATTTCAGGTTAATTAGAGTAATATGAAGACAAACCATTAATTACACAAAACTGTTAACTTAAAATATAGAGAATTACATTCCTCCCCACCATAAATGTGCTCAGCTGTTAGAGTTGTCGTTGCTTTTAGCGCAATAAATCATGTTGACAGAAACAACAGTAAAGACAGATGACAAAGAGGTGGTTTCTGTGCTTCCTTAATCCTGTGTTTATGTTTGCGTGTGTGAGGTGGGGAAGGTGGTGGCGGGGTGGTAATCATTATGACATCACTGACCGCTTTATGTCCAAGAGCACAACGCAACCTCTGCAGATTTCTACATTTGTAACACATTTGTAACGAGCTAACAGAACTTGCATCACTTCCTTGAGGTTTGCAGTTCAAAAGAAACTGGTTTACAGGCTCCTGTTTCTGCCTGCGTTTCTGAATGTTAGAAATATTACAACAACCTTGTTCTGGTACAAATAGCTTAGAATTAGACAAACTTTACTGTTGTTTTGTATACTACGAGTGTATACATTGCTTACAGCTTACAGTAGTGAAATGAACATTACTATTTATAAAGTGCAGCAGTGATCAGAATGAAAACAATGTAGGAGAAAAGGTAACCAGTTTAAAAAATAATGGTGAAAAAAGACATTGATATGGAAAGGCTTCAGTGCTTTGCAGTAAATAAATATGATGCAAAATGCAGTAGAACATTGAGTTGAGTGTGATGTAGAGTCCAGTTTAAAGTTTAACAGTTCAACAGTCTGATGGTGGTGGGAAAGAAGCTGTTGCAGAGTCTGCTTGACCTGCATTGAATGCTGTGAAGCCTCTTCCCAGATGAGCAGATGATGTTACGAGCTCGGGACACGCAGCGCTGGGATGAAATGTCTTTATGGAGGGAAATCATCTCTGATGAGGCCCATCAGAGAGGGGTGTCATCTGCAGACTTCACGATGTGATTGGTGGTGAACATGGGGACGTAGTCATGTGTCATCAGGGTGAACAGTAGGGGGTTCAGGATGCAACCCTGAGGGGAGCTACTGCAGAAACAAGATTTTTAAAGTTTTTTCTCATTGCACATGTCTCTTCGACATCTCTAAAGGGATAACCTCTACCGTCCTTTACTTTGTAAAAGGCAGGGACAACAATTTAGGAGAAACAGTGAGCAGCACGTGGAGAAAAAACACTTAACTTTAGAAACAGAATTGACTATTGTGTAAAAAACAAACAGAAAAAAAGGACTTCAACTTTGTTTCCACTACTGACAACAAACAGGCTTATGTTTGAACATTTAGAGATACACTATATTGCCAAAAGTATTTGCTCACCCATCCAAATTATTGGAATCAGGTGTTCCAATCACTTCCATGGCCACAGGTGTATAAATTCAAGCACCTAGGCATGCAGACTGTTTTTACAAACATTTGTGAAAGAATGGGTCGCTCTCAGGAGCTCAGTGAATTCCAGCGTGGAACTGTGATAGGATGCCACCTGTGCAACAAATCCAGTCGTGAAATTTCCTCGCTCCTAAATATTCCACAGTCAACTGTCAGCTGTATTATAAGAAAATGGAAGTGTTTGGGAACGACAGCAACTCAGCCACGAAGTGGTAGGCCACGTAAACTGACGGAGCGGGGTCAGCGGATGCTGACGCGCATAGTGCGAAGAGGTCGCCAACTTTCTGCAGAGTCAATCACTACAGACCTCCAAACTTCATGTGGCCTTCAGATTAGCTCAAGAACAGTGCGCAGAGAGCTTCATGGAATGGGTTTCCATGGTCGAGCAGCTGCATCCAAGCCATACATCACCAAGTGCAATGCAAAGCGTCGGATGCGGTGGTGTAAAGCACGCCGCCACTGGACTCTAGAGCAGTGGAGACGCGTTCTCTGGAGTGACGAATCGCGCTTCTCCATCTGGCAATCTGATGGACGGGTCTGGGTTTGGCGGTTGCCAGGAGAACGGTACTTGTCTGACTGCATTGTGCCAAGTGTAAAGTTTGGTGGAGGGGGGATTATGGTGTGGGGTTGTTTTTCAGGAGCTGGGCTTGGCCCCTTAGTTCCAGTGAAAGGAACTCTGAATGCTTCAGCATACCAAGACATTTTGGACAATTCCATGCTCCCAACTTTGTGGGAACAGTTTGGAGCTGGCCCCTTCCTCTTCCAACATGACTGTGCACCAGTGCACAAAGCAAGGTCCATAAAGACATGGATGACAGAGTCTGGTGTGGATGAACTTGACTGGCCTGCACAGAGTCCTGACCTCAACCCGATAGAACACCTTTGGGATGAATTAGAGCGGAGACTGAGAGCCAGGCCTTCTCGTCCAACATCAGTGTGCGACCTCACAAATGCGCTTCTGGAAGAATGGTCAAAAATTCCCATAAACACACTCCTAAACCTTGTGGACAGCCTTCCCAGAAGAGTTGAAGCTGTTCTAGCTGCAAAGGGTGGACCGACGTCATATTGAACCCTATGGATTAGGAACGGGATGTCACTTAAGCTCATATGTGAGTCAAGGCAGGTGAGCAAATACTTTTGGCAATATAGTGTATATATCAACTTAAAGATATGAAAAACAAGAGACAGGACCAGAATGTTGTTAACATGCACTTAGCTTAATAGCTAACTAAGCTATGTTTTCTTTAAAATAAAAGAAAAAAGAAGTTTGTGATTTTCAGATGATACCTTTCCATCAATGATGTTAAAGGTTGGTTAACAATCATAACTTCATAATTCTTGTCAGAACAAACTAAAGTTTTTTATTTTTATTTTATTTAATTCACTTAAGCAGAGCATAAATCTGGTGTCATTTCCTCCTTGAAGTTAGAAGAAAATGAATAAAACAGATTATATTCATCAAAAATATTTTCTATAGAATAACCCACCCTGACTGCACTCAATCAGCAGCTGATGCTCAAAGTTATGAGTTTACCAATCAAGATAATCTAACTCAGGTGTGCTAAAGTGCAGACACTGAGGGCTTTTAGGTGCATCCCTTCTTCAACACACCTGAGCTAAAAGAAAGCCCCCCTCCCCATGTGTCGCTTGTTTGTCAGGATTGTATGGTTGCAGCCTAAAAACAAGACACAGCATTTTTTTTTTTAGAATGCATCAAAACCAATATATTCATAGGAGTCATAGTATTGCACAGTTCTAGTTTCATAATCCACTACATGAGGACTTTCCTTGTTTTTTCCTTGTTGATGTTGGTTTCTAAATCAGAACATTGGTACCCGACAGCTTCACTAATATTTTTTCCATTTTGTGAAAACTCATGTTTCAGAGTTCAAAATTGATAATAATTTGTTGTTTGTGTTCTTTTCTCTCCTTGCATCAGGTTTTTTCTGCATTTTCTGCACTACTCTTGAAAAGGCCCCCCCCTAAAACCCCGATAAATGTGATCCAGATCTGTCTTTTGATGCTGTCACTGAAATGCAACAGGAGTTGGTTTTTTTCAAGGACAGGTTAGTATGTTTGCTCCTTATAAAACAATTGTTTTCTGCATTAAAGATTATTTCTTTACTCAGTGGGCTTTCTGTCTTTGCAGATTCATGTGGCGCAAACATCCCAATTTTGTTGAAACAAGGATCTCTCTCATCAGCAGCCTCTGGTCAGACTCTGTACCATCTCACCTGGATGCTGTGTATGAGAACTGGGAGAAGAACTTTCTTTTTTTTTCAAAGGTAAGACGGGATGAATGAAAGTTTTACAGCTAGGTGTTTGTAAGTTTTAAATCATGAAGGTATTTTTCTTTTAGGTGATCAGTACTGGAAACTACAGCAATTAATTGTGCAGGAAGGGTTTCCCAGGAACATCTCAGAGCTGGGCTTTCCCTCCCGAATCAAGTCAGTGGATGCTGCTCTGCACTTCAGACGCCATCGTTACACTGTGTTCTTCACTGGCAGCGAATGCTGGAGGTATTTCACATCAGTGTCCTCTGGGTTCTAAATCATGCTGGAATGAAAGGGCAAATTATCATATATTAGATGTAGAAAATCTACATAATTGTGTTTCTCCTCAACTTTAAGGTATTTTTTATAAATAGTTAATCAATTTCTTAACTGTTAAAGTGTTTGTGGATTATATATGATATTATAAAACATCACTCAGATGACAAACATTTTCAAAACAGAAAGGTGTACTAGATTTAAAACCGTGCTTATTTTTATTTCGACCAAAAAGCCTCATAGGAATACTGAGAGTAAATTATATATATATATATATATATATATATATATATATATATATATATATATATATATATATATATATATATGTGTGTGTGTGTGTGTGTGTATACATATAGATGGGTATATATAACTATTGCACTGGGTATTAAATCGTAATTGCACATTATACATTTCACAAGTAACTGCCGTTGTATAGTTGCATTGCAGAGTCTGGTTTCAGCAGGGATGAATGACCTGCAATAGCACTCCTCTTAACAAACAGGGTGTAAAAGTCTTTCACTAAAAGAGCTGATCAGCTCCTCCACAGTCTTGTGCAAACGGTGGAAGGTGTTGTCCATGATGGATGTAAGCTTGGACAGCACCCTCCTCTCACCCACTTCCTTCACTGAATCCAGAGTGAAGCCTAGGACAGAAACGGCCTTTCTCACCAGTTTGTTCAGTCTCTTTCTGTCCCGCTCTGTGGGCTGATGCCACCAAAGAGTCATAGAAGGTCTTTGAACAGGGGCCTGCTCACTCCAAAGGATCTCAACCTCCTCAGGAGGTGTTAGTTTTTCTCTGTGGAAGCATCACTTTGCACATAATTGGATCCTGGTGTTCCGCTGATGAAAGATGTGGTCATCTCTTTTTCATCGGTTTGTTGTTGCATTAGCCATTAGAAATATGACAATCTCTGTGATAGTGACTCAACCAGATGCTCTACTTCCTTTTCTGAGTTGATGAAATAAGAGCCAGATATTTTCCCGTGTGACTGCTGAAGAGCAGATTGTTTATGTTCTGTTCCGTGAGAAGAACAGCTTGAATTTAATTTTCCACTCAGAATAATCATGTTACCCACTGAAATCTAAAAGCGAGAGACGTTTGTCACCAAAGATGCTGCTGTGTGTCACATTTAGGTACAACGAACATCTAGGTATGATGGAGGGATCATCAGTGCTGATCGAGCAGCAGTGGCCGGGAATCCCTTTCCCCGTAGATGCAGCTGCCTTCTTTCAGGGTACCTATCTCTCATTGACTGATTGTGTTAGAGGTTGCCTCGGATTATTAACATTAAATCTGCACTGATTACATATGAGACATGCAGTCATTTTAACTGAACATCTTCATCTACAGAGCTTTGCCAAAAGAATTTATACAACTTCATTTTTCCACATTTAGATGCTATGACATTCAAAGACATCAGGATATTTGGTTGGGATTTTTGTCACACATTCAGACTTATGAGAAGATAATCATCCATTGGATAATAATAATAGTGTATGTATTTGTTACTTCAAGGCTGGACTATTATAATTCTTTACTATCAGGAAGTCCACAAGCTGTAGTCAAAAGCCTTCAGCTGATCCAAAATGCTACAGCCTGAGTTCTGATGAAAATTTAAAAAAGAGATCATGTCTCTTCTATACTACCTTCTCTTCATTGGCTTCCTGTTAAATCAAGAATATAATTTAAAATCCTCCTACTCACATATATTATATCAGAGATCAGATTGTTCCTGATGTTCCTAACAGAGCACTTTGCTCTCAATCTGCAGGTTTACTAGTGGTTCCTAGAATTTCTAAAAGTATAATGGGAGGCCGATCTTTTAGTTATCAAGCTCCTCTACTGTGAAACCAACTACCAGTTTAAGTCTATGAGGCAGACACCTTGTCTACTTTTAAGGCAAGGCTTAAAACTTTCCTTTTTGATAAAGCTTATAGTTAGAGTGGCTCAGGTTATCCTGAGCTATCTCTATAGTTATGCTGCTATGGGCTTAGACTGCTGGAAGACATAGGGACCCCTATTTCCTAATCCTGCTTCATTCTATCTCTATACTGTTACTCTGCAGAATCTGTAAGTTCATTCTCTAACGTTATGCTCTCTGCTTTTTCTCATAGTAGCTTCATCTGGTCTGTTCCTGTTTGGCTGTGACTCCATCCTGGAGAGAAATATCAGCTGTGCTGCTGCCATCAATGCCTTTGTTTATAGATATTGGAGATCGGCCTGTTTTTCAGTGTAGTCCTGTTTTGCTGACTGTGACTAACTGGATGTGTTCTCTTCATCCTCTGACATTGGAGCTGGCTCGAAGCTCGTCTGCCTGGCTGTGTGTTTTTGTGCTTCTGTGTCTTGAACCCCAGCTCACACTGAGTCTGGTTCTTCTGGATGTTTCTTTCTGTTCAAAGGGAGTTTTTCCTCTCCACTGTCACTACAAGCATGCTTAGCGTGAGGGATTGCCTTTGAGTCAATGAGTCAACTGGTTTTCACCATACATAGAAAGCTCTTTATGAATTTCACTGGATGATCTGGTGAGATGTATTGTGAATTGGCACTATATAAATAAACTGAATTGAATTACTAAGAGTAGCTTGGTAGAAGGTCGCACACTGATCCTGGTTCAGCTGGAGATTTATTCCTGTTTAAAGTTTTCTACCTGGAAGACGAAACTAAACCTTAGTAGAAGTTTATTCTTTTAAGAGGTTTGCTTCCAGCTGCCTCTGCATTTCATTCCATCTCTACTCTCATCAACTCTGACCAGCTTATCATGTCACAACCCATAGAAATTATTTGTTTATTGTCCTAATGTGGTAAAAAAAAAGAAATACATTTGAAATCTCATTATTGACTGATGATTTTCTGCAGGTTTTGTACACTTCTTCCAGGGAAACAAGCTCCATAAATACGACTTTTACCAGAACCGTGTGGTCTTTGTCGGCAACACCAATGATCTGATGGACTGCAAGATGGAAAAGAGCAATAAAGACAAACTCTAGTGTTGAAATTGCCTAGTAATGCCAGTGTTAACTGTGTATATTAAATTAACTCTCTGCTGCAGTGATCGTATTGTTGCTGGGACTTCATAATGCTGGGAAATCCCTCTCCTTGGTGTGCAGCCGTATTGAAATAAAGGGGATTGGTGCTGTCAATCAAAGCTGTTTCCTTGTTTGATTGGTGCTGTCAATCAAAGCTTCTGAAATATGTTTTCTGCCTGACATTTGTGTTGTAGACAAATTGATAAAGTAAAAAAGTATTGAAACTCAAAAGCTGTATCTGGGAACAATTCTAATTTGGTATTGAGGCTTTTTTTGCTTTTGTTTATTTAAAATTTTTAGAGTATTTACACATTAAATATGATACATCAGAAGACCTTAATACCTGGTATGATTGTTTTATATTTGTGTTATTTAATATGCACATTTATTCAATTAGCATCTGTTACATTGTTGAAAATGAATTGTTGATCAAATGATCCAAGGTTAGTTTTTTCCAGTAATCAGTCAAACCAATCATTTCAAATCTGTGAACAAAGGAGCCACATTCTGCTGTCAAACTCTTGCTTTAAATGGCAGAATGATTCACAGACTTTGTTTGAAAATACGTCAACATCGTCTGCATAGAGTCACATTCATACACTTCCAGTACACGAGAAAAGAGTCAGATCAAGTCAGTCAAATGTGTGTGAAGGTGAGCTTTCCTTATCATAGAGACAGTGAAACAGACTAAAAAATAATTTTAATAACCAAGAAAATCCCTGGGATTGAAAAATACATCAGTTCACAAGAAAACACTTTTGATTCTTTTCTCAGTCAATAAGTCAGATAAGCGTGAAAGCGGCACAGCGTAGCTGAAAGGTCGGCAAAGTGTTTCAGTAGTTTGACTTAAATGCTGTTTAGGGACGGACACTGAAAAATGAAATACTCTACAGAAAGAAAAAATATCCCTGGTGAATGAATAAATATTGAGGCAGCGATGAGAGTTTGGAGGACATCCAAGTTTCCAGTAGGCGTGTGAATTAGATAGATTTGGTATAGATAATGATACATGTGATTTGTCCTGATATATCTTGAAAAAATTAACAATGTATTGCCATTTTTATAATAATAAAGCTCTGGAAAACCACATAATATATTGTTTTTGCTTTTATGTGCTGCCACCTATCTGTGTTATCTGAGTTATACAAAAAGAAGACAAGGAAATGGATGTTTGACTATAAACATTTTTTACATTCAGGATCGAATTGGATCTTTCTTGAAAAAAGAAAAATATTGTCTTAGAAATATTACAATATTGTATTTGAATGGTCACAAATATCGTCTATTAGAATGTCTCAAAATTTAACAATATCAATTTTCTCTTGCACCCCTACCAATATCCAGCCCTCGTTTGATGAGAGCAGCGTTTGTGTAAGAGCTTCTCCCAATGTCAGACTGTCACCACTATATGCCCCTTTTTCCCGATCATGCATCTGGATCTCATGGCGTATTTACCAGAGGAGATTTTCTGGGTTTAGAGGGTCAGATCTTTGCTCATTTTGGGTCCTTTTCAAGGTAGCAGAAAGGAGATGGACCTCATTGCAATAATTTAGGAAGCTGAGCTTCAAAACAATCCGTCTCACCTATAAACACCTTCCTGTAAGAGACATCTCACAGTTAGGAGAAAGATCCAGAATGGGATGGAGGGATTCCACAAGTCCTCCATCTGATCTGGGAAAGATGTGGACTCCTCCATAATGGATCTGGGGTATGTTCATACGGTGTCCCTCCTGGTTTTCACTCTAGAAGTTCATTTCAGCTGCTGGAGGAATATGGAAGGATAAAAATCAAACAATTATATCATTTATATATTTGTTTTTAACCTTCTCTACTCTTTAACCCTTTAAAGCCATTCATTAAAGTTCAGCAGTGATCAAATGTAAATGGTGTTGGAGAAAAAACCTGGTGCAAATCAGACACATTTAGTGAACAGAAAACATATAAAGGATTATACAGATATGCCTAATATATAAAAACTAATGTAAATGAATGATTTATTTTAACTTAAAAAAATATATATCTTTTTTATTTCATTTGTCAGAAAGTTAAATGACAACTCTAATCAGAAGTTTCTTTCAGTTATTTCCTGGTTCTGGCTTTAAAGGCATGTCCTGTCTGACCTCTGTGTCTTCTCTGGCTTTTAAAGGGAAATCTGCCTTACATAGTCACCTCACAGTTTTTTACTCATTTGTTGTTTATTTTATTAAAGCAAAAGTTTATTCTGATTTTTTTGGACTAATTTAAATCCTATAAAAGGATAATCTAAAAAATGTTATGAGTTTATAATATACAGTTTATAATTTCCTTCTGATAGAATAATACTAATTAATCTAAATACATAGTTTTTTTTAATCATTTAACATTACTGTAAAATATGCCAGGAGCAGTTCAAAAACTCTCCAGGTATTATTTACTATTTTTTTTTTTATAATAAAGGCAAAATCTCCTCATGAAACAAAAATACAGAGACAGTGTCATAATTATAGTGTCTTGTTTTGGGGAAATTCTGTGTCAGATGAACAAGCAGGCACAAACTTCCTGTCTTACCCATAAAAGGAGCACGAGTCACTCAGAAAAGTTGCTCAACACACCGATCAAAGTCCTATATAACAGCTCCCTCCAGGTGGGAGACACAAGTTGAGTTCAAGAAGGAAACATGAAGACATTTACGCTCAGTTTTCTCCTAAGCCTTTCAGCTGCGGCATTCTGCATGCCGCTGTCGCAGCCTTCAGTGCAAGATGAACAGTTTGCTGAGGTATGTACCATTGGTTAATCCGTTATATCTATAGCATATAAGACATATATACTCTTTTAATTCTGCATATATTGCTTTTCTAACCCACTGAAAGACAGAGGCTTCTCTTTGTTGTCAGACTTGTACATTTTCTGGGAGATAACCCTGTTTTTCTCTTCCAGTACTACCTGAAAAATTTTTTCAATCTGACGGAGGAAAGTGGCCCGACACTGAGAAGAGGAATCAGCTCAGCAGTTAAGAAGCTGATGGAGATGCAGAGATTCTTCGGCCTTCAGATCACAGGGAACCTGGATGCTGACACCTTGGCTGTGATGAAAAAGCCTCGCTGTGGTGTTCCAGATGTAGACGTCTCTCAATACTCCACTTTTGGAAACAATCTGAAATGGGATAAAAATGACCTCACATACAGGTGAGAGACTGTGAGACCAGCTGTTTTAGGAAAGTTTACAGACCCGGTATGTTATTAAATGGGAAATGTTTCACTCTTTTCTGCAGGATAGAGAACTACACACCCGACATGACTCAATCCGAGGTGGATGATTCCATGGAGAAAGCTCTTCAGGTTTGGGCTAAAGTCACTCCCCTCAGATTTACAAGAATTTACAGTGGCGTAGCGGACATCATGATTTCCTTCGGTCGCGGTTGTAAGTATCATTCTTTTTTCATGCTTGTAGTACTGGCACTTCTTGAAATGTTACTGCTGATTTGATTGTTTGAACTTACATGAAATGTGTTCGTTTAAACAGCACATGGGGATTTTTACCCCTTTGATGGCCCTGACGGCACGCTTGCCCATGCCTTTGCTCCTTCTCCTGGAATTGGAGGAGATGCCCACTTTGACGATGATGAGACCTTCACTTTCCGCTCCAACAAAGGTGAGTTTCTTCTTTGCACAGTTAGCAATCACTTTGTCGGCATGATTCAGCAAAGACGAGGTGTAACTCACCGTTGTTTCCCGCTTTAGGCTATGTCCTCTTCCTGGTCGCTGCCCATGAGTTCGGCCACTCTCTGGGCTTGTCCCACTCTCAGGATCCTGGTGCTCTCATGTACCCTGTGTACTCATACCAGAACCCAGACACCTTCATTCTGCCCAGGGATGATGTCAAAGGCATCCAGTCCCTTTATGGTTAGTACCAAAAAACCCTGTTTAAACAAATTAGTGCTAGTTTTGGAGAAACTCTCTTTCATTGATTCCTGGTACTCAGCTGTCATAACCTATTTTGCAGGTGCAAATGAGGATCCAGTCCCCCCTGGACCAACTGCTCCAACCACACCTGATTCATGTGATTCCACAATGGTCTTGGATGCTGTTGCTTCACTACGAGGAGAGATGCTCTTCTTTAAGAACAAGTAAGATAGAAACCTAAAACTAACTAAAATCTGGAGCCAACTAAGAGAGTTTTATGCATAGCGGTTTCTCCCAGATAGATCTACTTTAAGTTTTCTATATTTCTCTACTCAGGTTCTTCTGGCGTATCTACCCTCAGAGTTACACACCACAGCAAACTCTCATAGCAAACTTCTGGCCCGATGCCCCTCCCAGTGTTGATGCTGCTTATGAGAGTCAGCTGTCGGACAGAGTCTTTCTCTTTAAAGGTATTGATGATTTATGTACATGTTAAGGTGTGGGATCTATGTACATTGCCCAAACGGCTTCCTTGTCTCATTTCCTAACTTTTTCTTGACAGGTGAAAAAGTCTGGGCTTTCAGTGGCTATGATCTCGTACAGGGCTATCCCAAATCGATTTCTAGCTTTGGTTTGCCCAAATCAGTAAACAAAGTTGATGCCGCCCTCTACGACCCAGAGACTGGCAAGACTCTCTTCTTTGTTGACAGCAATTACTACAGGTGTGTTCAAGAAGGGCTTCAATTATTGTGAATTTCTAGTACAATCCCACAGGGGGTTGGGAGTTTATTCTGTTTTTTGATGCCACTTTCCTCCAGCAAGCTGTTTCTATCCCTTTATGATTAGAGATACTTATGTTGTCCTTCTTTTCAGCTATGATGAGACTATGAAGAAAATGGACAATGGATTCCCAAAAAGAGTTGATGAGACCTTCTCTGGGATGAGCAGCAAGGTGACAGCCGCTTTACTGCACAGAGGTGAGTAGCTTAGGAAAGCACATGTATAATAAAATGAGTGAATGGCTGCAGTGATTCTGTCCGGTCAGATCCAAGCATTAAATGTGTTTCTGTTCTGCAGGTTTTACTTACCTCTACAGTGGTCCCTACATGTACGAGTTCAGCTCCAGGACTGGGAGAATGTTACGTTTGCTGAGAAACAGTTACTTTCTGCCCTGCACCAACTATTAGAAAATGAAGGTTTAAAATGTCCAAAACTCCCCTGCTAATTTATGATAAGACTTATTTGTGCCCTGTTATCCGGTTTTATGTAAAGAAGTGTTTTTTTTAAATCAAAGATATTTATGATGCCTAAATGTATTATTTTATATTCTAAAATATGTTTTGCATAATATATTTTTATTGTGTAATTTTATATATTTATGTTTTTCTTACTGCCTGCTTTTGTATTTTGAGAACAGTGTTGGACATTGTTACTATTTTTCTTTGTGCAATTTTCAGAACTTTACACTGTACCGAAGAAAGATAACAAGCATAATGAAAATAAAATATAAAAAAAATAAATAATTGTTTTGGGTGTGTTTATATAAAAACATAACTGGAATCCAATTACCTTTTCAGCCCTAAGACATCTGAAATAATAAGAACCAACCATCTCCATTGTGTTTCTAAATTACTTTTGTTTTTTTGTTTTTCTGTTTGTTTTTAAAGATTAAAATATGCTGATGGATTTGCAATGCATATAGAGGACCTAGGTTGGGGACGGTGACATTTTTTTTCTATTGTCCCTCAAATAGCATTAGCTTCAAGGCCTTCTTTGGAGACAAAGACAGTTCTACAAAATATTTTGAGTGTTTTTCTAACTTCTATTTACTATTCAATACTTAACGCTTCTTTAGTGTAAAGATAGTAACTAACATGTTTTTCAGCACTGTATTATATTCCCACTGAGGAGCATACTTTTCAACATACTCTTATTGATGAGAGAAACTCAAAAGGTTGTGTCTAAGGGAAGTGCTGCACTTTATATCTTTATTCCACATGCATGTCGTTGTCCAAATGTAAACATGCCAAACCATTACCGATGCATTCCTCACCCTAACATGATTGACACCTTAGGGAGTTATTACAAAGGGGCGGACCTGTTTTTCTGGTGGCGTGGTGACCTAGTGGTTGGGGCATTGCTTCCGGGTCCCAGAGGTTCTGAGTTCAAGCCCCACTCCCACAAACTGACCACTCTGGGTCCCCGAGCAAAGCCCCTTAACCCCACACTGCTCCCTGGCGCCGCACAACGGCAGCCCACTGCTACCCAAGGGGATGGGTTAAATGCAGAGAGTGACTTTCGTTGCTTTGTACTTGTAACAATGTAATGACAATAAAGTTGAATTATATTCTATTCTAGAAAAGAGGGGGGTATGGTCTGGAGGGAAGGTTTCAGGCTTCTTCTCTCACAGTCCAAAACTACTTACCGTCAGCACCAAAAAGAATACTCCAAATCACAGCTTTATAGTGGGAAAACTGAAGCCATTTTCATTGGAAATTTGATCTTTCTCTATTACCAACATCACTTTACAGAGACAATTCAACCAGATCATCCATTCATATAGGTTAAAAGTTTTCTATCTGAGGAAAGCCAGTTGATTGCATCGATTCATTGACTCTTCAGCAATTCCTCACACCAAGCATGCTTGTTGTGATAGTGGAGAGGAAAATTCCCCTTTAATAGGAAGAAACCTACAGCAGACACTGCATGAAAAGTGAGATTTTCGTCCCCGTAAACCCCCGTAAACTCCCGCAGATCTCCCTGATTTTCGTCAGTTTCCGACAATTTGCAACCCGCGCTTGTCCGCGTTTGTCGTGCCACAAATTGTCGGAAACGGACTCTGACGTATGTGGAGAGCGATCAGCTGTACTAATGGCCCTAATTAGCATATGAATGCAGCAAACCCGCGCGGCTGGCCAGGTCTGGCTTGAATAACCTTCTCAGTATTGGCTGAAACCACTATTCTCAAACAAGTGATATCGCTCGTGATTGGCAGCAAAACCACACGTGGCCACGCCAGGCTTTAATTTTCTTACTGAGTATTGGATGGAACCACTTCTTTTTAAACAAGTAAAGTCGCTCGTGATTGGTCGGCATATATATATATTTACATATAAATTTACATATATATATATTTATGAATATATATTTATTTATTCATATATTTATTCATTCATATGCTGTGTATTTATGGTATCCTACACTACTACACAATTATTAGGCTACCATCAAGGACATGAATTAATTTATACAGGAAATGAACATTTGCCAGGAAGCTGTTTATGCAAAGAAAGAGCTTTATTAAAACACACACAACTATATACAACGCGTATCCAAACACATGCGTATCTAAAAATTACAAGTCCGTGAACTTGTAAGTTGGGTTCCTCGGGGTTGGAGGTAACTGGCAGCATTCCCTCCGAGGCAGGTCTGATGTGCAGACGCCTACTGTGCGTGGCCCTGTACTTCGGCATCGCTTCTAACCGGGACCGCAGCTTAACACAGAGTTCAGTGAGATCCGGCCTACGAAATGGTGGCGACCTTACAATCCATCCAGAGACACCGCCAACGACGCCATCTTCTTCGTCTGACATGAGGCCGACGGTGGCGGACCTCCAGAGTTCCACTTCCTCATCTGCTAGCACACTCTGCCTCGCTTTCAGCAGCTGAAAAAAAAACAATGAATCAGCGCACTGCGTATGGACACAACACATCTATCAACGCACCTGAAAAATAGTCAGCAAATAAAGTCTTACCCTCTTTCTTCTGGCCCGACTCCGAGCAGATTGCTTGGCAGCCTCCGCACGCAACGTGTTGGCTGGCTGCGTATATCTGAAGCTCCTGCGTACCGTCTGAAAATACGTCTTACAGGCAGCTGGTAAACAATTAAATGAGAGTGGTATGAATAAAAAAATCAAACGCAAGTCACAGTAACAAGGAAGGAGAAAACATTAAAACAAGTCACTTACACACAATGTCGTCTTTATCAACATCGTGCAAATCTGGACTTGCTGATATGGCTCCGAGCAAATAGGAGGTCACCGCCTCATTGTGAGGCGACAGTAGTCTGTGAAAACAAAATGTAAAGCTATGATCAGTATCCATTCGTATCCGTTTCCTTTTACCGCAGAATAAAAGCATATTCTTTAAATCTTACCCTTGCTCCGGTTCATAGCGCCTGCAATTAGTCTCCGAGTTGTGAAGACGGCGTACTGCTTCCTGTAAATCACAAAAAATGCACTTTAATAAAGCTTGTTCTTGCAAGGCTACTATTAGCCGTAGCTTTAGGCCAGGCTGTTATTAGCCGTAGCTTTAGGCTAGGCTGCTATTAGCCGTAGCTTTAGGCTAGGCTGCTATTAGCCGTAGCTTAGGCTAGGCTGCTTTTAGCTTAGCAGGCAGTAATCGAACATATATTTACCGCTAGCTTCTCTTCTTTGAGTTCGTCTTGTTCGATGCAGAGTCGCCATCGCGTCCAAGAGGAGTTTTACCCCGAAATCCCACATACTCCGCTCCAGACCGCCTCCACAAAGACAAGCATACATTCTTCTTGTTCTTCTTGTTCTTGTTCTTCTTCTTCTTCTTCTTCTTCTTCTTCTTCTTCTTCTTCTTCTTCTTCTTCTTCTTCTTCTTCTTCTTCTTCTTCTTCTTCTTCTTCTTCTTCTTCTGTTGTTTTATGGCGGATTGGCAGGCCAACATAAAAGGTGCATTTCCGCCACCTACTGATCTGGAGTGTGGAGTGCACAATTTTGGAAGACTGCGCTATACCCCAAAAAAAAAAAGAATCCTATAACTAAATCCTATTAAATGTTCCTGTATCTTTTAGATATTTGAATAATATTTCATTAACTCTTGTTTGTCTTATCTCGTTTCCTAACAGTGCTTTTATTGAATTCCCATTAATCCCTATTTTTCTCAACTCTTGTATGAACTTCATTCTCTCCCTTACATACGCAGTACACTCAAAAATAATATGTTGTACTGTTTCTGGATCTCCGCATTTGTCACAATTTCCTGTTTCATGTTTCCCTATTTTAAAAAAGACTGTAGTTTAATGCTGTGTGACCTATTCTTAGCCTTGAAATAATTATATCTTTTTTCCTATTTCCATATCTTTTCCTCTCCTTTCCAATAAACTTTTGAATCTGATACAAATGTCTTCCTTTTGACTCATTATTCCATATCGTTTGCCATTTCTTTCGAGTTTCAATTGTAATCAATGTTTTCATTTCTGATTAACTTAAAAATACATTAATTTCTATTTGCTGATGATTTAATGCTTTCTTTGCTAGCTAGGATTTTGTTTTTTATTTGAAAAGCATATTGCATACATCCTCCGCTGTAGAAAGCATGCGTGAGATGAAATAATTAAAAATTCATTCATTTTTTTTTTTAAATCAAGGCCTTAATTGGCACTAAAATTATTTAAATATGTTTATCGAAGTATTTATAATTCTTTAATAAAAAATGCTTATAAAATCAATTTCGTCAGATATATTATATCGCTCCAGGCGGAGAAAAAGCTAGAGGATATATATATACGTATATATGTGTGTGTGTGTGTGTGTTTACATACATACAGGAGTCATGGAACTCTGCTTACAGCTCCTTCATATTTCATGTACACTAATAACTTGTGTACATGGTTCTTGTTGATGGCATTTAAATAATTTCTAATAGCATTAAAATAGCATTAAATTAGAGTCACTCATTCCTGTATGAACACTGTGAGCGCTTAATTTAATATGACATATTAAAAAAATCCCACCATCATCCAGCATATGTTCAGTTTCTGCCCAAATATATATATATATATTTGTAGATTTTTGTAACGGGGATAAGGATAATTCAAAACTGCTTTTTTTTAATGAACTTGTTCTCTACTCCAAAACTCAGCATGTCTTTTCATTCCTGTAATAAGAAGTTTCTTTTGAATGGATTTGATTAAAGTTTAAGTCCCTCGGTATAAAATAAATATTTTGATGGAGATGAGAAATCTGCTTCCTCGTTGGTGAATAACCAATAGTTTGGATCCAATCATTTAAATAAACGGTCTTAGTTTTTTTTTTATATATATAAGAATTGTGCTATAATTTCGAGTCACCGATCTGTTGCTGCTATATTTTAATTTGACGAACCGGAATTTGTCGATGTTCTTTTTCCTGTTTGGTGCGATTGCAATTGCGGATCTTGACCTGGCCGGACCTTATGACCACAGTGTACCAATCTTCTGATGGCTACTTCCAGCAGGATAATGCGCCATGTTATAAAGTGAATCATCTCAGACTCATTTCTTGAAACTTTTCCACTTAAGTAATTGTGAATTGAGCATATTGACAGACAACATTTTATTTTTTATCTTAAATGCAATTTTTTTTTTTTATAATTACTGCTCTAAGGGTATCTATCAAAGGTTTGCGTGTACAAAAACGTGAGCTATTTCACTGCGCACGCTAAAAAATTTACAAACTGATCTATCAACAGCGTGCTAAAATGATTTGGTCTTTAAAACGTGCTAAA